CTCTCTCTCTCTCTCTCTGTCTTTTGCCTCCCTTTCCTCTACCTCTATCTCCCTTGCTCTTTCTCTTTTTCTTGCCTTTTCTCACTATAACGATGTTCTCGATCCTGACTTCTCTCGGGGATCAAGATCCCCCCGGTACGCGAGAGCGAATGTCGCCTTGAGCGAAATCACACACCTGACGCGGCCTGTAACCTGGCGAGTTCTTTAAAAGCTCGAAGCAAAACGAACGAAACGCTAAATAGAACACCACCTGTATATTCTTAAACAAAGGCGAACGTCTCTCGTCATCGATACTCAATTGGATCGAAAATCGGCCAATATTGTTATCATCTTCGACGATTCGTTTATCCGTAAGTGAGTAAACGTCGGCGTTGGCGCACTCGTATATCTAGTACAATATTTTACACTGAAAAACGCTACTTCTAGTTAAACATTTTTAAGTTTATCTCTTATTGGCACGTTTTCGTCTCGAAATCGCACTGAGACATCAAGGAAATCGTTGAAAGCGGAGTACTTTATTAAATGTTCCTCAGGACTCAAGCGTGCCGCAGGGGAGACGGAAAGAGAGATCCACGCTACGCGAGCGCGAAGAGAGCGCCGAGAACAAGTGATGAGAGAAACCTCGAATATCGCGACGCTCCTGCGATACTAATTAGTCAGCCGCCGAAAGCAATTAAGCACAAGAGCGGCAATTAGATTTCGTTATAGCAGATCCATCCTGCATGACTACGTGACCCTGACCGTAAATCGTTGAAAGTCACGGGAAAGGAAACGGCCGCCCGGCGATTGTTTCGAAATCAAGGCGCACGGTGAAGTTCACGGTGTACCAACCAGCATCTTAGACAATGTATAATGCATGTATATGAGCCAGCGAATGCATACGTAACCACCGTCTTACAAATGTGTTGCCGTACCGTGTACCAAGATCATAGACTGTCTGACCCGCCAAGTAAAAGTGCTATTCGCGGATAAAATTGATCCTACGCGAGAATATTGCGAAAGATACGCGATAATGGAAGAATACTAGACGAAGCGTGATAAATTTTGACTCACAAATCTGAAAGATCGAACAATTTGCGTTGTAAATTAAGTTGAATATATGAATAGCGCGATTTATATAAATAAGCGGAATATATGAATATACACTTTTATATTTGTCTTTCTGACATTATAAACAAGTAGAGTGTGTAACAAGAGTATAAATTACTCAAAATGTTTTAAATTGCTAAGTGTCTCGCCGACGTTGCCGAAGAGAAATGTTTGAATTGCTATGCAAAATAACGAGGAGATCAGTGTTCTATGCCAATTGACAGCGCGGCGATATACGCGCGTCTTATAATGACCTAGGAAATCGACCTATCACTAGGAAATCTAGTAACCCAGTGACGCATGAGAAACTCTCGAAACTAATCGTGACGTGAGAACCATACTTGGATTTAGATGCGAGTAAAAGACGCGCGATCGACACGGAACTTTACGACTCTCTAATAATGAGACGAACACTTAGCGCTATCAACGCGGAGAAATTCCGCTTTTGTGAGCTCGTAGAACGGTTCTACTCATCCGCTTGCATATCCGTAACGCGGGCCGCAGTGCCGATTTTTAAGACGCTTTTTTTCTACTCGTCCTATGCACCGTGCTTTTTCCATCGCGTGATGGCGGGAGAAATACGGGAAGTGTCTGCGAATGTAAATAATCTAAATTCGAAAAGGGGCATATTTCTTACTACAGCGTACATGCAATAAAGAGACCTAATAGATAGTAAGACACAATATTCACTGTTGCAAAAGTAAAATAAAAAAATCGACACCAACAAGGAGAATAGTTTCCGATTTGCTTCAATCTTATTGTCAGCAGTATTGATACAGCATACGTTGCGCTCAGCTGTATTATGAATGAAAGTAACTCCTCTTCCTCTCGAAGCAATTTCGCGTCTTTTTCCCCGTTGTCCTTCCCGCGGCCATGTCGCGGTCGTTGTTGTTACAGAGGAGCGTAACGAAGCATGACAATGCCTTTTTGCACCAGCGCAACGCTCCTCTTTGCACCGTTCTCATATATCATGCTGCGTCTCGTACAAATAATTCATTTTCCGTCGTGTTTTATCCGCATGCGAATCTAATGTGTTTTTATTTCACACTCCTCTTGTCTAAAGCGAATTGTCTACCGCGACGTCTGACAGGATTATCTACGGTTAAGATGAACCGTAGGTCTTCTTCTGTTTCGCAAATTTGCTATTAATCTTTCAACTGAACACACTTTTCCGGTATCTTTTTAGCGAACACGTGGATCTATTTCGTTCAACACTGTTTTCTTCATCTTAAGGGGTTAACAAAAGTTTGAAATAATTCATGTAATATCTGTCTACATTGTAATCGGTATTCATAATTATTTTGGTAAAAATCATAGACATTTTGATAAAAATTACTTAATAATAAAAACGTTGTGGGGAAAACTTATTCGACGTATCTGGCAATAGTTTATTTAAGGAAATACACAACGTCTCGACCGAGAATTCCGGTCCTATTCACAAGCGATTATTTATTAAATATTTTATTTTTAATAAATCCTGCACAGTTACGAGGACATATGCCTATATGTTACTTTGGCTCGTCACGTGTTCGAACGGAGGGTTAATCTGTTGCATTCTTTCCCTGTGACATTCGCACCCTCCCACCTTGTGTAAACGCTAATTATTGCTGTCCACGTCGCATATAGCGTACCAATCCGTACCGCATCGTTCTAGAAAAGACAATGTTATACCTGCACATACTTATTGTCGAGGTAAAATTCTTTTTACCGCGTCCAGTGGGGTTTTAACGCGGTGCGACGAAGAAACACGCCATTTTGCCTCAACCTCCTTTCCAGCTATTTATTTTTCTTCTATGTGGGACTTAAGGACATCCGTCTTGAGAGATTTAGTGTTGTATGCCTATCCTCTCGACCCGATTAGGAATGATGTACGTGTGCCATGACCTCTCCTCGACCTCCGGCCGCCACAGATCGAGGAAACAATCGACTCTTGCCCGGATGCACCTGAGACATGCACTTTCCCCTGCAACCGTACGAGAATACCGAGAGTCAGCCGGCATTTCCATCTCGTCGGCTCGGTTTCGAGCGGCCGCCGCGGCCGGATGACTCGTCAAAGAAACAGAACGCTCGCGATGTATTAACGATTTCGAATGTGCTCTTTATGCAACGCGGCCGCCGCGATGAGTTTCGCTCGTGAGAAAAAAAAGAGAGAGAAAAAAAAAGAATGTTTCGGACCTTCCTGGAAGACTGGAAAGTTGCCGCTACCAATGCCGCTACTATTGCCGCTACCAGTGATTTCTCTTTTTTGAAGCTTCTCAGATCGGCTCATGAATTTGCCGGTGATGTGCGTATTTGGTATTAAAAATGAGAGCAATTGTTAACAACAAAGAAGACTTTTTTTTTAATTAGTGGAGTTAATTAAATAAAAATAAATTTTCTTTTCACTTTCACTGTTTATCCTACAGAAATATCTTGTATGTACACTGATAGAAAAATATGTGGCATTTGAAACGATAATTGCATAGTAAATTAATTATAGTCAGGAGTATCATTTTTCTCGTAATTATTACTATAATATTAGCAATAGCAACCGTACAGACACAGTGACGCCAACTATTTAAAAAATTTACTGTAAAATATAAGCTTTTAACTATTATTCTGTTAAAATATCCAGGCAACGAGTAGTAAACTAGTTAATTATTTTTATATAGCAAATACAATCACAGTAATAGTAAATTTAACTACATTTCTATCATCCACCTTAATCACATGGCAAACAAAAGTGAAGTGCTTCGGAATGTCCTCGCTAGAGGGACGCGCGGTATAAGACTTTCTCGTAAGAAGAAAAGCGCATAGGGTGTTACAAATACGGATAAGTTTATGACTCGTGTAACATTACTTACCTTTTCTTTGAAAGATTCTTTCTTGTGCTATTCTTTATGAGTGCATGAGTGCATATGAGTGCATGATGTAACCAATGAACATAGTGAACGCAATGTACATATAATAAAAAGCGGGGAATATTACTTCCAATATAAATACGATTATTACTATTACATATAGTCATTCGAAATTTTACTTGTAGTTGTTATTGCATTATTTATAGTACGCCTTACCAAATGAAAAGCTCGTTTTGGTGCATTGTGACAACCTTATCATAAGTTGCATGGACTAATAGTGTGTCTATGAGGACTATAATACATCGTTAGGTCAACCGTAACTTACGTAGTTGGAAGAATTATAAAAATGTGGTTGACTAAAATGACTATAAATTATAGATTGTGGTAACTGCGACCATTTTTTTTCTATCAGTGTAGAAAGGAAGAACGAGATAGTTTGAGATATACAAGTATGCACACAAATAGAAATGGGATTTTAATAATTGACACATTTGCCTTTTTTAAGTACCTTTTAAGTACTTTTCAAGTACTATTAATGAATCACACATGTATTACAAAGTATACATATTTGTAAGCATACAGCTTAATATGTTGCGTATACGTCGTATTGGACAGTAGCCGCAAATCATCAACTGCGATGAGTGAGTTCTATTACAGATTATTATCACATTGGAGCTCGCGCTAAAGTCGCGCGCGCAATGACGAAGTTGTAATGTATATGTGTAGTGTATTGCAATGTATTGCGTTTGTAATTGGCGAGTTTTATGTTATCGTACATATTGTGACTAGCCTTTCAGTTTGATTATACATTTCATTGACCTACTTGCGTATGCGGGCGAGTTGTTAAATATACATATTTTTAATAAACATCACGGAAGGGTCAGATGCCCTATTCACTATTTAACAATAATAATAAATAAATGAGAATAAATATCTCCACAATCGTGAACGATGGAGGCTCGGTCTATGGCTTGAGTCGACTTCCGTCAACCGTTCTTCCTATCGTCCGATGTTCAATGAAGAAAAGACGAAAAAGAAGAGACGAGAGAAAAAATCCATCGACGCTCGTCACTAGTGTTGGTATCCAGAGTATGCCTGGCCGTGCGCGTGAGGATCTTCCCAACCGGAAGCAGCAGCGTTGGTCCATCCACCGGCTGCGGGACTGGACCATCCACTACTGACGGGACCCGACCATCCACCGTTCCAGCCAGCGTTATAAGCGGTGACGTCGTGATGTTGGGTTTTGCTTGACCAAAGTGACTTGAAACCGATGAAGGCGGAGATAAGAAGAGAAATTACCGACGCTTCAATCGCCTTCTTCGCCAAGTATCCGATCACGAAGTACGAAAGGGCTCCTAACAAACCAAGCTTCACTTTTGCGGCAATCAGAAGGGGCAGGATTTTTTTCATAGATCCCTTCTTCTTGCGAGCTAGAATGTTAGAACGGATCAATTAGACTACGTTATTCGTTCAAACATTTGTAAGGCACAACGCCAATTCAATTTCGCCATAATACATATCGACGTTATGAAGATCAATGGGGAAAATTATTAGTAATATGTGTTTGTCAATTTTAACGCTACCTTCGACAAACTGGTCGACTGCCTGGCGAATTTCTGGTGGGGCAGATTCGCTGATGGCACGTGTTGATTCGCGAATCTTCTCGAAAACAGATCCGAGATTGATCTGAAAGAAAGAAATGATGACTTGAGTTCAACTACGCCACTGAATATGAGACAGACTACAATGAAAAGCTTTAGTAATTAGCAAAAGTTACATTAATTGATTGCATTCTATATAATAGTGTCAAGTTTCAGTAGTTTCTAATGTACCCTGAGACTGCGACCGGTGAAAAACTGTTCAGCTTCGTCGCTAATGAAGTTCTCGAGTGAATTCTGTCGTTCAGCGATGCCATTAGCAGCCTCCATCTCTTGATCGTAAGCAAGTGCCTTGCCAGATCTGGCGTTGGCACTACTCTTCACGAGGCTGATTCCGTTCACAAGTTCCAGTTTATCATTAGCGAAGAATCCCTTGGCGGCCCTGTACAGGGTCTTCTGCACGCAGGATATGCTGTCTTGTTTCAGGCATTCGTCGATGCTTTGTCCGGCGGTGAGGATGACCGCGGTCGTCAAAATCAAGAACTGGTTCAGCAGCTTCATGTCTCCTTGCGAGTTCAACTTGCGAAAAGACTTAATCGCGGCACGACGCGTTTGTAAGAGGTACAAGAGATCCGTGGATGCCGATGGATCTACGAATTCGTAGAATAAACGGCGTGTCAAGCCGAATTTCCTATGGCCCATGGAACAATTTGTGGCTTATATTTGACTGGCCCCTCCCTTACATTCTGTATCGTAGACCCCACTTTTTTCTACTCGTTTGGTATGCATGAATGTCGTATGTGTCATGCATTCGTATATATATGTTCGTTTAACTATGTGTGCAAGTGTTCGTCCAATAGATGCTAATGATAAGTGTACCTATGGCCGTGATTCGACCATGTCGTCTACCATGATGCGACCTGCGACCTACCTACGACAAAACAAATAGTGACCGGGCGTACGCTGCTACAACGCCTCGAGCACTAGTAAAATCGCTTTCTTCCAACAACGACCTTCTTAAGCATAACTTTACATTGCGATATGCATTATTACACACGATATGCAATATCGTGTGTAATGCATATCGTTTTTATCTGAGTGTATTGAATGTCAGGTATTGAAAGTTGTGACCAAACGCGAGTGTAATATGCAGAATAAGAAAATAGATTACACAACACGCAATATTACATTACTGGCAAATTGCTACGATTGAATAGAAGATATCATACATGAGATAAAAAGTGTGTCTATTTTTATACATAGTAGATTTTGCTTCGCTTAACTTTAAAGCTTTGATTCCGCCGAGCTTTGTATGATAAATAATATGAGTTTAACAATATCATATTAGAAGCAATATTTTAATATAATGTAAAACCATAAATAATGTTACAATACTTGTCTTTTATAATTGAATAATGTTTTTAGTAGATTTTTTATTTTATGAGACATAATGTATATTATAAATATATATATATATTATAATTAATTTAATATACATAAATACATATTTAATTCGTGTATGTACTATGCAGCAAAACGATAAATTATTAGTTTCTAAAAATAGACTCGCTCGAGTTCATCGATGTATGTTTCTAGTTTGTCCTAATTATTTTACACATTTGCATATTTAAAGTCGGGGAACGGATGGGACCCGAATCTCAAGAATGTGCTAAATCTCATGTAAATAAATTCTCGAGAAAGCTCCTTCAACGATCGTTTAAACTCCAGCATTAATACTAATCGAATTATTAATTCCGTAATTTATTGACTTATTAACCAATTTATTAATAGTTTTTCGGTATTTGTTATCTTCAATAAAAGGACTTAATGAGGAATGATATGGCTCAGCGTACCTATTCATTTTAAGCCACGGGTATTACTTTAATTGAGTTCAACTGAGAAAGTGTATTGAAGTGTACATGTACGAATTACGAAAACGTTGACAGATCCAATTGTTAAACGCGCGTGGCAATAACGTATTCATCGTGATTTCTACAAACCATGCAACAAACCGTGTTTAATAAACTCATATTACAGTCTATCGCATTATACTTTCTAGTAAAGAAAAAAGTAAAGCGATAAATAAATGGGACAGCTAGGCAAATCATGTAACCCTTATGTCTGATTAAATCCTATATTTTTACTGAAAACCTCATCTAACACCACCGATGTACCAAGTCGGGTACGTAAGGCTCGTATAAGCTCGTATTAGCGAATGGTAATACAAGGCGCGATAAGATTTAAAGTGACTTCCTTCACTGAGAAATATGTCCGACGAAATGTAATCGGATAATCCAATTACATAATAACAAACGGATATATCCGATGAAAAATGTGATTGGTTTTTCAATCAAATTTCATCGCATTTTGTCGGATAAATTTCATCGGATGTATCCATAATTGAATCGGAAAACGTCGAAAAATGAACCATCGGACACAGTATTTCGTTGGTTTAGCCGATGAAAAGTTTTCTCAGCGTAGCAGTGACAATCATCGTTGCGGTTCGGAACGGAAAAACCTTGAGGCTGCCGTGCTCTCTCTTCGCAGATGGGTCCTTCGTGCGTACGTCGTTCAGCTAAGGCGCGGATATGGGACACGATCGGCATGAATGGAAGAAAACTGGTATAGATCAAGTTCAAACATCCCGGATCCGACCTTCATCGCGGCGCACACGGATACCACTTTCTATTCTGACCCTGCAACTCTCACAGGCCAACGGATAACGCGCCTCTTGTCATTTTCATTTCGTTCCTTCCCGCGGGGAATGTAAAACGGTACAATGCAACAATCAAGAAAACCTTTGCATTCAGCGTGCGTATATTCGCGGCGTGCTTTGAAATTCCGAGAAAGTGAAACCGCCAGTGTCTAAGAACGCCAATGTATCGGAAACGTGTACTTTAGTGACCGGTCCAAAATTTTCGATTTGCCGAAATGTAATGAGAAATGCATTGTAAAATGCAAAATGTTGTACACTTTGGAAGGAGAGGGACGTGTTAAAAACAGGATATTATACTTTTTTTACTTAGAAAGTATCATATTAGACGATTTCTATATAGAAAGTGCGTTCTCTTTCTCTCCACATTTTTTCTACTTTGAGTCTGTTAAAGACATGTAACTTAGAACTGTAAGATGAGAAACCCGTTCCACATATTTTTACGGGATACAACATAATATTATGGAAAATATGAACGTCGTCCGATTATAAATTTGTAAGGCTTTCTAGCAACACTTACTTTTTTCATCGTTTACGTGTTACACATTACAACCATAACTTTCCTTTGCTGTTCACATATTCGATAAAATGAGATTACGAGGTGAAAAAGAAGAAGTGAAAAAAATTGCACATTTTGCACCGTGTACATTCTCTACCATTTTATTGAAGATCACACGTATCTCTTTGTTAATTCATGCACATAATCGCACCAAGTAATATATGAAGAAGCACTCTCGTCTTGAACTCGGCCAACGAATCCTCTCGTCATAAGAAGGGATTCAATGAAAAGCAAGTTTAACAACAGCACAGTTCCCATCCCCGATCTTACGTCAATGCTCATTCATCCTTTCTCGGTCATTGGGTAGCAATCAGAATCCTTTCGTCGATCCTTCATTTCCAACAGAAGAGCAAGCCTTAAAAAGTAAAACCAAAGTTTCTCCTGCAAATACAACGACAGCAATGATCGTTAAACCACAGGTACGCCCACCGCGGTAAAATCACTATGCTTTGCGCGAATGCGCGTTGTAGGTCCGTGGACATTTGATTTCGTTCAGTGAAATGTAGATTAAGAACGGATATTTCAATTAAACAGATTACGCCAATTCTCGCTTTTGCCACGTAGATTACTAAAGTAATTACTACGAATAAATCTACGTGTTCTTATTGACGCAAGTCGAGTAAGTAAAAGTTTTCAAAGTTTCAACAAATTATGTTGTAAAGGCTGTACTGCATAACAGAATGATATAATTTGCCCTATTTATAGCAATAATAACATTATTTTATCGAAAAGATCAGGAAAATTTATACTCGAATCGGTTCCTCTAATTTTCTCTCTGTCTCAATTTTATTTTTACAGCAATAAATTAATATCTATTTTACGTTACAGCAATTATATTGTTAATTAAAATAATTTAAAGTTCTAATAAGAATTGAATTATCACGAACATGTTATTAATTTCCAAAGTTTTCCTCGATAGAATCTCATGTGGAGAAATTTTATTGTACATTCGTTATTTACTTCTTCATAAAAATGATTCTCTTTGCGCTTGCACTGCCAGTTGGCACATGTAAATGTATATAGAGGTCATTCACCGACTTTCAGAGGTCATGGTATTTTTCCAGACCAATATGCCAATGAGCCGAGATATTCTCACGGTATCTAGAATTCTAGAGTCATTCAAAAAGCGTATCGATTTAGGACAGCAACGTCCATAAAAGCGTATCCAGCAACCGTGTTGCGTTTCCTGTCCTAAATCGGAAAGAGCCGGCGGACTTCGATATTCTAGCCTTCGAACTTGTCGGTAACTGGTTTAACGTCTGCCAGTCTGTGCTAGGAATTTCTGATGCAATGTTCGATCAATTCTACAATGTCCCGATGCCTGTTGGCCATCGACACGCGTATGACCTGAAAAATCGACCGGTAGCCAACCAGATCAAATTTGAATTGGAAATTTCCTTACGAGGTTTGTAATGAGTATGGAATGTAACGGGGAATGTAACGCCACTCTTCCGCGCCCAACTGGTTCTTCTCGTCTATGGACCATAACGCGGTTGCTGTGCCAGAAAACCCGGTATTAACCCTTTCAATGCGTTTTACAAGCAATAAATCAGCTACATATTTTATATTAGTACAGGATTTTACAATAACGAGCGCATTAATAATAGACACGAGAGATCGTCTGACTTATATCCCTAAGTTAAATATAATTAATAACACAGCACTGAAGACAGGGCAGAAGTGTCGAACGGAATAAAAGATAATCCAAGTGACTATAGATACGTTACCCACTCGTTCCCCTGCTTGGATTTGTAAAACTTATCGTACGAATCATGCGTTTCCATTAATCATCGCGTTGGCAATAATTGCAATGCATTGCTGCTTTCGTACCCTTAAAATATAATGAACGCGAATTTCATCAGTCGCGAGTACAACGCGTTACCTTCATTCTTTCTAGTCATTAGGAAAGTAGCGCGTATGTATACGGGTAATAAATTTAAGCGTGCAATTAAACCGTCAGCGTTGAATTTGGCGAAACATTCGATTGGCATAATCTCTAGTGCAACGAAATACGAATTAATCGACCCGGCATCCCCGCATAGGCGATTGCCGCAGCAGTCGCAGGCCACTGCGGACACGCTGAGAAGCGATCAGCTCGGCCCGAGACCGAATCGCCGTCTGAGCTGCTTTCAGCGCGAGCCTCCACGTTTTATGATATTCGAAATGTAAAAAAGGAAACGATCGGTATGTATGCCAGTGGGTCTTAACCGGGGCTCTTCCTTCCCCTACCGCGTGGAGAAAGAAGGAGTCAAGGACCGCGGTGGGAGGGAACCAATGCAGAGAGGAAGCGGCGTGGAGAGATGCGTGGAGAGAAAGAGGATTCGTTCCTCTTACTCCGCTCGACCTGGGCCTTTCTTCCACCTCGCGCCTTCCCTCTACCTCTTTCTCCACGCTGTTTTTCCTACTTCCCTCGAGCTCTCCAATCCGCTACGTGGACCCGGGGTCCACGTGCACGCGCGAGGGAGCGCAATGGATAACGTGCGCCGGCATTAGTCTATACACAGGCGTATTCTCACAATTCATCTTCGGGCCTGAAAGACTCGAATTGGCTCCTCTCAAGACCGAATTCCTCGTACAAATTGCCACAGAGTCCCGCTACATTCCGAGCTCAAACGACTCTAAAGTTCTCGAAACGCGACCTTGAATAAGCAATTATACGAAGCGCATAATGCACCAGTCGCGTGGCTAATCGAATTCGTTGCACACCGCCGTATCAGCCGCGTGGCTAACTCTCGATGCGTTATCGCCATTAGTCCACTTACAATTAGTTGGGTGACATTCGTGGGACTATTATTAGGCCTCGCGCCGCGCGCGCGCGCGTTGCGACGAGCGTTAGGCTAAGTAAACGCGCGTCCAGTAAACGCGGGTGAATATGCGGCACGGTCACTGGCACACTTTCCTCATTGGCTCGATTTGTTACCTCGTTCCTGCGATTTTCCAATGTTCCGTGCGCAAGTAAACGGGAAACATTGGAGGGGGGGGAGGGCTCGACCCAGCGAACCGTGTCGCTTCGTTTCCAAGCCTGTTATACGAAATGTCTCATTAATTTCTAATAATAAACGACGTTACGCCGGCTCGTCCGAAAATTACGTACTAAACGCTGCCTCCGTTTAAGCTAACTTTATGATTTACATCTTGCTTAGCGTTTAATTAAAATAAATGCGGCCTCACGACAATGTCGTCGGTACCGTCGAACAGCGATGGTAATAAACGCAAACACGATCTCTCGTATCTTCCAAACACGTATGCTTTATTAACATGTGTTGCACAATAATAAATACGTGGGTAAAAAAAAATAAATAAATAAATTAAAAAAAGAGTCAAACAACGTACTTTGGTTTCTTCGGTGCGCGTCTATGATTTTTCACTGAGAGTCCTGTCAGGGTGGCAGACCAATAGAGATCAATTGCCACGTATCTCGTGAGCAAGCATTTGTTAAATATCACTTTCTACCGTAGCTGTCAATCAGTACCTCAGTCATTGTCGTTTCGTCGATGTCACTGTCACTGATCCTGTGTCGCGTTACGTCCTCAGTCATTTCCCAGCGCCCATTAACTCTCCTACCGCGACTGACGTTTGCAGCTTTATAAACTATAAAGAAACGAGAGCCACGTTGTGGAAAAGGTGCACGTTGCATTAAATGAATGTGATGATGATAGGAGGACAATGATGATGTGATCGAAATGCAAATTGCGTGAGCGCAATGTCAATGTGCCGCATTGTCAACGTAGTTCATCTAGTCGTAACTATCTGAGTCTATCCTTAGCAGCGATAAGAGAGTTAAAAGGCCGGAGAACCAATTCAATCTCGCGGTTGGTGCAATTAACGATCAAAAGCATCAAGATGGTCCCAAGTTGGCGTAGAGATGGGCGTATCCTCTGTAGGGCAGCTGCGTGGAGTCGACATCCTCGACTGATCTCTTCTTGCGATGATGGTGGCCGACGTCCTGCGCGTAAACTACGTGGTGGCCGCCGTGGTCCTCGTGGCCGCCCGCTAGCTTCTTCACGGCTACAATCAGTGACAGCATCAAGGCCATTGCCGAAACCATCAACGCTTTCATGGCCAGGAGACCCAGCGCGCCGAAGCCCATGGCAGCCATCATCTTGCCTAGATAAGTTGGGAGAAAAGGTGAATTTTACATTAAAGTGAAATTTCAATTATAATGTGGAATCGAGTGTAACATGAGATTATGTTGAAAACGTAATGTTTACGTAACAACACTGCTTACATGTAATGACAAGAGAAACCTTAACGATGCTTAATCACGCATTCGTTAAGCAATGTATATTTATGAAAATTAGCAAATGTTGTAATAAAATTAACGGAATATTTGCGCACGAGGTGAGCCATTATAGTTTTACCGCACGTACGTTAGATGATACGTAACGATTACTTTCACACGATTGTCTATCTGAAATAATTATTGACGAGTACTCACCCATCATAAGCATCATTAAAAGGAGCCCACCGCTACCGCGCTTGCCCCCTTTGCCGCCGCCGCCCAATCCGCTGCCGCCGCCGCCCAAATTGCCCAAACTACCGCCCTTCGCCCTCGCTGAAAAATGTAAATTTTCAGTAACTGTCGTAGGTACCTGGCGGCACCAGGTGACGTGACGAATGGCGAACGTATTACCAACCATCAGCTTCGGAGGGCAAACTCTCCTTCAAGGCAGTTTCGATATTCGGTGGGAGTAAAGACGGCAACTTAACTCTGAGCTCTCTGCCCTCGAGAAATTGTAGGAAGGGCCCGAGGCCGCCGAAGCCTTTCAAGACTCGAGCCTTTCGGGAGGAACCGCTTCCGGGCACTTCGACCAAAGACACACCATCGAACAGTTCGATGTCCCGCTCCTTGCTGGTGGTCTCCAGCAGCTGCTGTACAATCTTCCGTACGATTCGCACACCGTGGCAGGAGACCGACGCATTCTTCGAGTCCTCCGACGTGCAGGACGTGGAGAATCCGGTCCACGTGTCCTTGCTCTCGTCGGTGGCGGCGTCGATCGTGTCGGCGATCAAGAAGGCGCAGACCGCCAAGGCCAGGCAGACGTGCAGACGCCGGCGCCCGATTCCCGGTATGCCGTCTATCCAAAGCATCGTTTCGTCGTGGAAACGACCGTGTCACGAAACAAAACCGATTGTGTGGGCTCCGTCGAAACCGCGGCGGGCCTTGATCCCTGCGCTTTTTGCGTCGTTGAACCACCGCGCGGCGAAACTACAAGGGGACGTCGCGTGCGTAGCGTGAAGCTGCGGAACCTACGGCGGAGGTCCGAGTGCTACAGCGTAAATGCTTGCAATTCCCATTTATATAGATCTACGTGAGGGTCGGTGATTGTAGCAAGAAAAAAGCAAGGAGAGCATCGGGCACGATGGCTGCCGTTCTCTGCTCTTGCTGTGCATTAGCCGGTAATTTTTCGTTCACTTAGATGCCGGTCTCCTCGACGATTCGTTTAATTCTTGTTTCCGACGCGTTTCAGAGCGTTACGGCGCGGTCGGCTTGCGAGAGCCGAGGTCCCATCATCGGCGCGCGGATGACGCCTTCACGCACCTTCCACTCCCTCCGCCTATTTCCTTTACCTGCTCCGCCAGACGTAATTCGCGTCTGGCGAGATCTCGCTATTCTAGATCATGCACTACCGGCTCCCGGATCATTCGATATACCGCGGCTCTCTCGGGCTTCTCGCGCCTCCGGTTCTCCTCCTCCCTTTCTCTCTTTCCCGCGCTTTAGTAGAGCGGAAGAGAACGTACCGATTTCGAATCGTGATCGCCGATATCGATCGTAACGCGATCGTACGCATCTCCGGCAAATAATAGACGCGAGTGCTCCGACCCACGCGATGCGAGAAACCAGCGTGGAATTTCGCCCCTCCCCCCCCCCCCCGTGATCGTCGACGGCCGCGAAACCGATTACTCCTAATTACTTGCATCTTCTTCCGATTCCGACAGGTAGATTCAAGGCGACGCGCCGCGACCAGGAGGACGACCCCTCGCGTACCTGAAAACCTGCGAGAAACGCGAGAATGTGTGTGGGAGCAGGGGCAGGGCATGGCGGAGGAAAACGAGAAAGAGGCAGAGACGCCCCGGTGTCGACGAGGACGGCGAACGCGTGGAAGGAAAGGAAAGAGATGACTATCCAAATCTAGTTCATCTCCACGTGCCTTTCTCTTCTGTTCCACTTCCCCTCGCGTAGCCGGCACCGCGGTATATACGTAGCACCGGCTGCTAGGTATAACTACAGCCGGTTCGAAATCATTCTTCCGTTCCACGACACGACTCGATCGCATACGGACGATCGTGATCGACCGCATAAACCTTATCGAAGCTCACGCGGCTCTAAAGACGGGCACGATCTATTACAATTAGATTAGCGTCCTCGAAAGCAGTTGCAACTCTATCGCGTGTACTTGCGAAATTCATACCTACGTACAGAATGATAGTTTTAATTAGTGCACGCTAAGCTGTGCTCTGTTTGCTTTGAAGCGCGGGCATTTACGACTGGATTTGTTACATATTTGCATTGCGTTTTAGCTCATTCATAAGATGGAGGTTTATTGCGAATTTATCTCACGTAGCGTGGTGTCCGCATTATGTATTTAACGATCCATAAAATAATCGTGTTATCGTAACACTATCGCGCTACGAGATTTTTGCATTGAAACGCCATCTTCTCCCCCGCTGTGTTCCCTTCTTATACTTTGACTGCGTCCCATTCATTGTACTCTTGATTCCGCGGAAATTATTATTTTAACTCCGCTGAAATCTGAGGAAATCTGTCAACTGAACACAAAAGTTTGGTAAGTGCTAAAAAGTGGGGGAACTCTGGTAATAAATTTCTAATTAACACAACGATAAATCAGCGTTAAAAAGCCATTAGTTCTACCCGACGCTGTTGATTCAGTTAGATATGTTAATCGCCAAAGTCCGAAATAACGTTAACATTTTGTAATTTTGCCATTATGATAAATTAGCAGGGAATTAGGAAGATTGTTTGACACCTTCGAAAAGAAACGTATCGAAGAAGCCAAATACCGTAATAATTACGCGATAATAGATCTGTCATAATGGAATGCAACCAATTTTCGCCATTTTGCTCGGTTAAACATCTCTCGCCGATCTAGATAATTGCATCTCGAATAAGGAAGAATTCAGGTTACCGGCAAAGATTGGCCTACATGTAAGAAATCAACAATTAATTCCAGACCCGTCCACTTACCATGATAATTTCCCGATATTGATAGCGCCGGTTACCCGCCCGGCGATAAATAATAAACGATTCGGGCACCGCCCAGAAATAGCAGATGGTAACTGTTTGTAATAACAGTGATTGAATCAGGTTAAAAAAATGTATTTATCAACGAACATCGGTATGTCAACGATATCCGTATACGATCGAGGTTTCGGACACACCAGACTTCAATTTCTTTCTCCGCCACGCATGCGAACGCTTTTCGAAAAAAAAAAGAGAGAGAGAAAGAAAAAAGAATAAAGAAATTGGGTCAGGTCCGCAATGCCCCTGTACGTCGGAAATCGAAAGTCGATTTGCTGAATGGCACGAGATGAACGGTACTCTCTTTCTACCGCGTTCTGCCTTATCTCGCGAATATCTTCCTTCGGATCCTTTAAAACCGATCAGGATGGAGAAAGCGGACATTCTCAAATAGAGGTCAACTTATTTGAATGAGAAATGTCTGAGGTGTCATGCGGTCCAGGTGGTTTTCCCTTCGATAAACGCGCCTGATTCCTCCTCAATAAATTCAAATTCTTCGTTTTCACTTAAATAAATATTACAAGATGCATTTACAGATATACATGTGTGTGCAGGTTTCAAAATAGACTGTATGAAATGCATACGGAAATTAAATAATTGTGTGATAACGAATTCCGCGTGTATGTATGTGCAAGGCATATACTACATATGTATATTACATATACTACATATATTAAAATTGCAAAAGCAAGATTTTGCGGTATTTAAAGTTACAATACATGTAGTACAAAAATTTTCAGTACATCTACCACAAACACAGACGCACATTGACGCTACATATGTATAATAAGCTAATTACAGTAATCACTTGACGCTACAGTTTCGCTAACGTCGCGAGCCAAACATTTGATTCAATATCTTCGGTGACTTAACTGTTAAGTAAAAATTGGCCTACGAATCTCTCCTGATAATAGTAAGCCTCTTGTTAAACCACAAAATGGAATCCAATCATTACCTGTAAATTCTTTGAGAAAGATATAAAGTTAATTTTTATACTGATGAAATTTTCATCACTTCATCACGGCTCTTACCCTTTCGTAACGCGTTAATTGGCAACGTTTTAATTATTAAGCTTCAGATTTTCCTACCGCACGCACTAACAACTTTGTTTCGTGAAGTAGCCAAACTAACGAAATGAATCGCCTGGATGTGAAATCGCGGTAACTTTTATTCTCGTGTCTACGCGATGTTTTGCTCTATCCGGTCTACAAGTCATCTTAAATAGACCACAACTAACGATCGTGACTAAAATACGTGTAGTGCCCAGTATCGTTCGCAGGGATTTATGTTTAGCGTAGTCGAGCGTATCCGTCTCGATTTACTTGAAAGTTGTCTTTCCAAAGACATCAGTCATCGTCATTAAAAAAGGAGGACAACCTTAAATATTAATCTTCGCGACGAGTTTGTTCCAAAATAAACGGTGTATTAAGCGATCCCAAACAAATCGCTAGCACTCGCCGTTACTTTTACTTCGTTTTACAGTTCAACAATTATGAGCAATCATGACCAAGTTTTGTTGTGAGAAATAAGAAGTAAACGCGGGACGTTCAGGTGTCCCTCAATTTATACAATATGCACGTGAATCAGAGGCACCCTGAAAAATTTTATTAAAAGTAATAACAATTTTTTGAATATCGATATCTTCTTTTAAATAAAAATTTTGATTGCATCTTTATTTATCGGAAGATATTGTGATCTTTGTTAGCTCTATCACACATATAAACAAAATGTGCAAAAAAAGAACTACATTATATCATTGTAGCTAAAGTATGAAAATAAAATTCGTTTGTAATAATTTCATGATTGTAAATGTGACGAGTCAAAAAATTGTTCTATAAAAATAATAAATTATTTATTTGTTTGTATAAAAAAATAATATAAAAATATTATACATTTCACAGTCTTGTTAATCAGACAATCATAAATTAAACGTATATTAATTTAGGATTTTTATATTAATAAATAAAATAATATACATGCGCTTTACGTGGCTCAGTCATTATTTTTTGTCAATTTGGCGTTTTGTATTCAAGTTATTCTTCTGTTAGAAACGTATGAACATGTATAAAAGTGTCCGTCTGTTGCGTCAAGTAAATCACTACAGGACTCTCTGTTGAAAATAACGTATTACAATTTAAATTAAGTAATCGCCAAATTAATTACACAGCATGCATGTAATTGTTTTACTATTTACTAATTATGTACAAATGGAGAAAGAATTTCATTACATACTTCTTTCTTCACGATTCATCACACTAAAATTACAGAGAAGTCTTTGAAAAGCCGATGAAAAGAGCTTAGAGTTTTGGAGTTCGTATTATAGCTTTCTATAATAATTCACTTGATTCTTATCTCATTTTTACTGAAGAAGTCTCCAATTTCAAATAACATTTAACGTTAAAAGTGATTAATTTAATAAATGTAAAATCCTAAATTTAATAAAATATTCTTATAGATATAAAAATAAATGAGAATAATAGTTGTCGAATGAGCAATGACAATAAAAGATTCTCTCATCTTCGTTTAACCGCACATTTAACGTCAAGTATAATCATAGTCTTGCTTCTGAATTTAATCTAGAAGGCTTTCCATTCAATATGAAATGATGTTGTGTCTAGCGTTAAATATACGGCGAGAAGACAAACGAGAAGTGGAGTAATCACATTTAACGTTTGATGCATGTAATTCTAAGCTCTCGAGATATCACAGATCTAAATACTGTAATGTGAGAAGCGAGAAGAATATAACGCTCGTACATAATTTGATGTCCTAATGACGAGAGTCTCGCAGTATCCGCGATTATATTCGCAAGTAGCGTCACGAAAGTAGGTGAGATTCTTGCGACGCGTATCCCCCATGCGTACGCATCCAAGAGTCTCCTGCCCACCTGCCTACGTATTCGTAAATCGTCGTGTGACATCCTGATGTCGCCGTTGTCATAAACACGTGCGTCGCTGTGCGTCATTGACGTATTCATGCGTCGTGCAGTCGTTCGGCAATTCAGGTATAATAGTATCAACGAAAAAGGGAGACTTGAAGAGGACCACAATGTGGACGGTAAGAGAAATGAGAGAGGAAAGAGGACGAAGTACAATGGATAATTATGAATAGAAATAAATATTCTGTAGAGAGAGTAAGCCTAGGGATAATTCTGAAGAATACGTTTGGTACGGATCCAAGAACGTCGCACTTGCCGCCTCGAATGTCGATCTCGGCGATTATTGGATCCTTCTTCGAACGGTAGGAATCAATCACTTTACGTGCGCCGCATAAGCCAGCTCGTGGGCGTCTGGCTGTCCAGGAATCGACGTTTGTTCGTGGAAGCTCCTCGCCCAACCGCTAGAGTAACTATCGTGACCGCCATGGTCGAGTGAATGACTCGAGCTGTGGTGAGGATGCGCTACTACCTCATAGGTCACGTGCTTTCCTTGCGAGAAGAGTTTCTTCAGGCCTATGATACTAGCCAATAGAAGCGCGATCTTCGACAGGAGAAGAGCCTTGCCGACCAAGAGGGCGAGAGCCTTGAACGCGAGACCGCCGATGAGACCAATCTTTAAGACGGCCGCGGCGATCAATGGGCCCATATTGTTCTTCTTCCCACGACCTACAAATGATGGAACGAATTACGTTATTGTCACTTTCGACGAGTTAGTCGAAGACGAAGAAACGCCTTTACAGATACATAATTGTACTTTCCACAGAGAAAGCAATAAAGTTCGGTGGTGAGCAGATGAATGAGCGGATGAACGAGCTAAAGGTGAAAGCTATTTGTTTATGCAGTCGGTGACACAACTTTGCTCGTTGTAAAAACAGCGGAAATTAAAACCAGAGTAAAACTGACCCGCTATTTAAATATTAGGCTTGTTTTCTATTGCTGCACTGGTAAACTAGTGCAGTAAGCTGGAATGAGAAAAAATATGCTTGTCTTACTGTAATTTATTGCACTATAATTCACCAGTGCAGCAATAGAAAACAAGCCTATTGATAAATATTACGCTAGTAGTCGAGATTATTTTGTCTAAGACTGGTATAGCTGTCTAATTTTAGAGCAAGAAAAATGTTAACATATTTGTAATTTGTAAGAAATTAAAATAAATTGAGTCTTGCAAAATAAAAATGGCAAGTAGATAATAATATTTTACATGCCTAACAGAATCCTAATTCAAAAGCTTAATTATGAATTTGATTTAGATCAAATCTCATTAAAGTTTATAAAAGTCTAGTGTGTCTGATTCAACTTTAATAAAGTAAATTTTAATAAAGTGAATTAAGTGAATGAAAAATTAATCATGTGGAATGTGTTTGCCGCAGCTTATGAAATATTAAATATTTTTGACAATTCTTTAAGGAAATAGTTGTAAAAGTTATAATTACCGTCTTGAACGGGTCTGTCGGCGCGCTCAATAGACAGACCCAAGTTTAGCGAGCCGGTCCCGTCTTCCGACGCGGACACGACGATGTCATCTTCGGGTAGAATCCTCCATTTGATACTTCTCGATTTGATGAAAGCGTAAACTTTATTCGCGACTAGATCGAGTATCTGAAGCTCATCGTCCTTGCTTCTGCCGGCCTCGAACGTGATCACATCCTCCGACGTCTGGCTCGTCTTCCTAATCTCGATGTCGTCCGTGAGCTCGATCGAAGCCTTCTTCAACAATTTGTTCATGTACGTCACCAACTTCAACATCACGCAGCTGCTGATGTCGTTCTGGGAGCATTTCGAGTTGAGTTTACGAAGAAGCTCCTCCTCGTATTTAGCTCGATCTGTTAACGTCACGGACTGCTGCTCAACGACGCTTATTTTTTCCTTCTTCTCCAGGGGGTTAGCCAAACAGACACCGAGGCCAAGCAGCATCAGTATGAAAGTCGTCTTCATGGTGCTTTTCTGCTGAAACATTTCACGATGTCGATCAACGATCGATTTGGAAAAACAATCACAGAAAGGTATCAATTAAGCGAGAATGCAGAGAATAAAAAAGCTATGTATCTTGGCTTAACTAAAAAACTGAAAATAAAGTAAGGTCTGAGATTGAAAAATGTAAAAAGTACAAAGAAAATTAAAACAGGTAAATAAAGATAAAGATCTTAACAACCGATCAAGATCCAGATCGAATCTCAGAAGCAATTTAATGTATGTGTAACAAATTAAATTTTGTAAAACAGTATTTGATTTACAGTTAAAACAGATTATGCAAACGTGAAATAAATACAATGCTTAATGCCCGCCAAAGACACAGTAACGGGTAAGGTATACGTGCCAATGTCCATGCGCGTGCGACACGACACGCGACACGCATTGAACGCGATACACGAATAACCGAAATGATAAATGATCAATGACGATTGACCTACTTGTAGGGCGGAAAGCCGTGAAAGGTGCAGAAGCGCGAGAAAGGGATGAAGATGCGCGGGCGGCGGCAAAGTGGCGGCCCTTCCCCTCGATCAGCTGGTCGATATCGCGAAGAGTCCTGCCAATTCCGGTACGTGGATCGAGGAGTAGCACAAGACTTCTGAACTCGCGTCTCGCCCCGACGAGTTTATATACGTAGATCTCCGCCTTAGTAGACACCGAAGTGTGCACAATGTCGTCGCGAGCCAACCCACCACCTCCCGCGGGAAGTATATAGCGGCCTCCTGCGAGACGATGATGACGGCGGATGGCGGGTGGCGATGGCTATGGACGAATGGTGGTGGTGCCCACTTTTGCCTTTAATACGGCTTTGAGAGCGGTCGTCGCGCTGGGCCTGCCTCAAAGTGGGCCCGGATGGTCCCTGGTGGTGGGACGAGTCGCTCATCATTACTTTGCAAGCGCGTAAGAGAAATTCAAACCGAAGTTGAAGCTCGCCGTCCTTTGCTCGCAAACGGGTTTTTTTTTCCCATCAGGTGCGCGCACACGACAGCGTACTTCTTCCGAGGGGGAGGAGAACGGCGTTGTCGCCGTCCTCCTGTGTGCGTGCAAACTGGTTCCCAGCGATGCACGGTGCACCGTACACCGTGTCGTAAACGCGCAAACGAGTAGCGGGCTCATCGCTCGCGCGTCCTTGTGTGTAGGTGAACGCGGCACGTACGGCCCGTGTACGTACGACGGCGCGATTCATAAACAGCCGCACGGAACACGCGAGCCCCTGTAGTTCCGATGGACCATTACCCACCCGACCTGCCCGCCCGCGAGAACCGTGTCACGGATGTAGAGCACGCACGCCATCCATCCCCGATTCGCAAATGCGTGAGCATCTACCTTATACGCGAACGTGCGACTCGCGCGGCACGTTAATAGTGGCTCTAGCCGCGTCTGTTCACGAACCTCCTCTAAACACTCGTCGACTTTTAGGGTAGAGACTGGAGAGAGAGACGCGACGAGACCGCGAGCGATGTCGCGAAGAAAAGAAAAGATGAGCCGAGATGCTGGGAAAGCTGGGATAAACGAGCATAGTCCGAGGAAATTATTGGAGCAGAGGAGATTAGCGAGGAAGCGCGCGCGCGCGCCGAACTCCTTTGTCTTAGATTGTCTCGCTTAATTTCATTAATTTGTCGAAAGCTAATGGGCAAACGTGATATATGAAATATATTAGATTAACATACTTGGGCGGTGGCATGCAGATACACCGGATATACGTTTGTTCCAGAATGACAAGGATTCAGGGTATTGGGGAGAGAAACTCTAGCGCGTATCGGTACATTCGCAATGCTCATGCATACATATGCTTACAGACAACATTATATCTATCTAATCACACGTTGCACACACCTGCGCACGTACGGTCTGGCGAACAATCGGACGGCTCTCGGATTCGATTAATTTTATTGCTTCCGTTGTTCCCGATGCGATGTTATGTCCTTATTGAGGAGTAAGTACTACTCGGATGTGTTCACTCGCCATTCATTAACTTGCTCGTAAATCTGCCTACGTCACTTCGATTGCAAAACGAAATCAAAGTGCAAACGCGTAGAAAGCAGCGGCGCGTTACAACAATTCCGAGGAAAGTAAAGAGAGGCAGAGAGACGAGCCGAGCTAGCGAGGGTATCGTCAACTGCACATTTATCGCGTTGCGTGTCACATGTGACGGATATACAAGTTGAGTGCCATTCGAGCACCATTCAGCAACATTTGCCAATGGGCAAAGATCATTACCGTCTTATCGGGCTTGTAATACCCGTTACCAAGCTAATCTATAATGGACAAAGTGTCTGGAGCTAAGAAATTATTCTAGAAAGTAACTATATGCGTAATCTACAAACTAAACTAAGCATTGCGATGCACGTTTCCCGCGGCTACCTATGCACGCTTATTAAATCAAATTTCATTATCTTGACGATTAATCAAGTTGTACACGTGATATGATTTGATTAAACCATGAGAGCTCTCTCTCTCTCTCTCTCTCTCTCTCTCTCTCTCTCTCTTTCTCCCCCCCCCCCGTCTCTCCCTGTCTCTTCGCGTCTCTCCGCGTCTCTCTCTCTTTCTCTCTCTAGCTTTCTCGCTCTCGCTCTATATATCTTTCTTTCTTTCACTCGTAAAAAAACTATTATACAGGAAATGATTTCTCACTAGACTTGTCTGGCAAGATACGTCTTTCACGAGTATGAAGACATATATTATCTACGAAGGCATATTAATACCTATTTACATCTACTTTGTAATGAGGAATTTGCATAATTCTATCTAATTAGTATAAAAAAACGTCTGCCGACTCCCGTTTGTCACAAATATTTTGTCGCAACAAGTAATCGCTATAATTATGAAGAAGAAAGTGAAGCAACGCACGTTTTAATATTAGATTCGACGGCAATTTTAAGACAATTAACTCAAATCTTATCTACATAATGTTAAATATTAAAATAATCTCATAATCACAATATTTTTACATTACGTTTATTTATGTAAATAAATAAATGAAGACATAATGTAGCCGTTTAGTCTATGTGAAATGGTACTGTTAAGATCGTAAGGTATCTCTTAAATAAATCGAGTACTGTTAACTGGATGGATAATGAGGCGTGGGGAAGATCGAGGAAAACGACTATATCCGCCTCTCTCGTTCTCGAATTCAGTCCGTTTTCTCGTAAAAGCGACTTTCGCAGTACAGAGGTTAACGTCGCGACCTAGCCGCGAAAGCTCGTCCATATACAAGTTAACCGATCTTTCCCCATGGAAACTGTACCGTCGTGAGACCAAGGCACTCGCGAGAATGAACGTTTTGGTGCTCCGTGCACCGTTACATCGAATTCCGAACGGGTATTTTGTCAGGTTCCTGAATGTACACTTCGGAACAAAGCAGCGATGATGCCAGTAACATGCAAATATAACTACATCTCACAAGATTATTTTATCTTTATTTTATACTACATTGAAGACTTACTGTTTACAATTCCTCTTTTATTTTTTTATTAAATTTAATGTATACACGAAAAGTAGCTGCCGTAGCTAAAAACTGCATGTGGTAACGAAATTTCAATTGTAAAATATGGACAGCTCGTATTTAGTTGTAATAGCTAATATTTTGCTACTGTGCTTATTGTATTAGGTGCGACAGCAAATCGTTTGCTGTGCTTTAGAAAGTTATAGTTAATGCAGCCAAATATTTTTAGCAATTCATGATTAGCTACAGTAGCAAACATTAGGGTGGAGCGTTTTTGTATAGAGAAAAGAAAAATTTTTTAATTTTACAACGCCCGTAGGTGAAGCGATGCGAATTTGTTTAAAAATAAAAATTTGAAAAGTTTTGACACGATCGGAGCTCATCTTCTGTCTCCAACTTCAGTTTGAAAATTTGATTATAGGAGTAAAATCATAACAATTAAAAAAGACGCAATTAAAAATTTCAAAAAATTTTTAATTCTATTTTTATCAACAGTTTAAAGTGTTATATTCTATATAGTATATTTCAATTGGTTTAATTTTTTAATATACTAGAATATAACACTTTAAACTGTTGATGAAAAT